CCTTCCCTCTTTGTTTCTACCTATGGTTACAAATATTATGTTAGCTTTATCGACGATTACTCCAAATTTACCTGGGTTTATCTACTCAAACAAAAATCTGAAGTGTTTGTAAAATTCTTAGAATTTCAAAACATGATTCACCGCCAATTTCAAGCTCATATCAAAATCCTTCGTACCGACGGCGGAGGCGAATACCTTAACAACCACTTTAAAACTCACTTAACTAACCAGGGCATTTTACATCAGTTCACCTGTCCATACTCTCCACCTCAAAATGGTACAGCTGAACGCAAGCATCGGCACATCACTGAAACCGTTCGGACTCTTCTTCTCACCGCCTCCATTCCAAATCACCTCTGGGCCGACACCTTAGTCACTGCCGTCTATCTTATCAATCGTCTACCTTCGCCGAACACCGGTAACAAATCTCCTTACAAAATTCTTTACAACGCCAATCCTAATCTCAGTCATCTTAAAATATTCGGTTGTCTTTGCTATCCATGGCTTAAGCCATACGCCGCACACAAATTCTCGCCTCTCTCACAACCGTGCGTTTTCCTTGGCTATGCCTCCAATCAGAAAGGGTACAAGTGCCTTGATCCGAAAACCAACAAGATCTATGTTTCTCGTCACGTCGTCTTCAATGAAGACATCTTCCCTTTCTCCCAATTCCCTGACTCCGTCAGCACACCTATGTCTCCAGCTCCTCACATACCTCCTCTTCTACTTGTACCCACAGCCCGTATTCCCTTCTCTACCAACACTACACGGATCCCAGCTTCCCACAGCACGGCAACTCCTATCACACCCTGTAGTCCTCATACCAATTCTCCTACTCCTACTGCTGCCATCTCACCCGACTCCCAGACATCCGAACCCAGAGCTCAGCAACCCATTCATCCCATGTTAACTCGCTCCAAGACCGGTCACGCCAAGCTAAAACCCATCTTCAATCTCATGCACATCATTCACAATACTGATCCGAACACCTACAATCAAGCCGTCAAAAGTAAACATTGGAGGGCTGCTATGTCTCAAGAGTTCCAAGCACTCCAAATGCAAGGTACTTGGGACCTTGTACCGCCCGAACCACATCAAAATGTAGTCGGTTGTAAATGGACTTACATAACAAAACTGAAATCAGATGGTACAATCGCCCGCTACAAGGCCCGCCTAGTTGCCAAAGGATTTCATCAAGAGCATGGGCTCGATTACACTGAAACCTTCAGTCTGGTGGCCAAGATTCCAACCATCCGCGTCTTCATCCTCCTGGAACTTCACTTCAAATGGCAAATTTATCAGCTGGACATCTCAAACGCCTTCTTACTCGGCAAACTCTCGGAGACCGTCTACATGGAACAACAACAAGGATTTCATGATTCTCTCCACCCCACATATGTCTGCAAACTCAACAAAGCCCTCTACGGTCTCAAACAATCTCCCCGCGAATGGTACGCAACTCTTTCTACTCATCTTCAAAATTTTGGTTTTCTTATAAGCTCAGCTGATCCCTCTCTCCTAACCTACAAATCTAACTCAATTCGTCTTTATATTCTTATCTATGTCGACGATATTCTACTCACCGGCAACTCTCCAACCGAAATTGAACGTCTACTATCGAGCCTCCACGATCACTTCCAAATGCGCAATCTTGGCTCGCTTGCTCACTTCTTGGGAATCCAGACCGTAAACACTAACTACGGACTACTACTTCATCAACAACAATATGCCAAACGGATTCTCGACAGAGCAGGCATGCAAAATGCAAAGCCAGTTGCTAATCCTATGTCCGGGACAACCTCCAGCTCAACCGCCCCCTCAAGCACGTTCGACAATCCGCATTTGTACTGCCAATTAATCGGCTCGCTTCAGTACCTTACATTAACAAAGCCGGACATACAATATGCCGTTCATCAACTTAGCCAATCCATGCACAAGCCGATGACCAGCAACTTCACTGCTTTAACACATCTACTCCGGTATATTCAAGGTACAACTGATCATGGCCTCCCTCTTTATCGTGATGAGTTAACCTTACAGGGATTCTCGGATGCTGATTGGGCGAATAACATTCAAGACCGGAAATCCATTTCCGGGTACTGCAACTTCCTCGGAAAATCTCTAATTTCCTGGCGTGTCAAGAAACAAGCAACGGTGGCACGCTCGTCCACTGAAGCCGAGTACAGAGCATTGGCAGCAGAGGCATCTGAAGTAATGTGGCTCAGACAACTCCTGGAGGAACTTCACATTCCTCAAACGGCTCCCACAACCATCTATTGCGACAACAACTCAGCCATTGCACTCTCCAACAACCCGGTCTACCATGTCCGCACCAAACACATCGACGTTGATTGCGACTTCATCCGTGACAACATCCGATCCAAACATATCACCGTACATCACATCTCGACCAACGACCAACTCGCCGACATTTTTACCAAGCCACTTCCCACACGGCGATTTAAATTACTATGCAACAAACTGATCGTCGCTCCCCCTCCATCAGTTTGACGGGGGATGTTAGCATAGGTGTATAACGACCAACGGTCACTGTACTTTCTTGTATTTAGTTTTATTTCTTGCTCTCAGTTATCTATTAATACCTTACTGTATTCTATTGACAATGCGTAATAATACAATTCATTCCATTTCCTTCCTCCTGTCGTGCTCTGTCTCTCAAACCTTACAAGGGGAACGTGGGAGGTGGTTCGATACGAACGTGGGAGAGGTCGTGGGGATCGGTTGAGTCGTGGGCAGGGTGGATCCACCATTAATAAAAAAACTCTCAGTCTTTAAATCCCACTTCGATAACAGCATATATATAAGTGGAACATTCTGAGGGATCGGAGGAACATTCAGGAACTGACTAATTTGTAGCTGTCGCAGTCTTTCAACAAATTGATCTCCAAATTTCATTCATACAACCAATTTAGCATTATATCTACATATCGATACCGAGCTTATATCGAGCATATTCAATGATCGATACTAAGAAGTAATATGATGTATTTGCTCGTTACAAATGTACAATGAGTTTATACCGAGCGATACTTATCAGTACCGAGCGATACTAATCATTTCATATGACTTATATTCCCACTACTAAGATCGATACTACTTCCACCAAAGTTTGATTTGCTCGGTACGTTTATGCAATTAGTTCATACCGAGCAATATCGAGTAGTACCGAGTTATGTCAAACGGTACCGAGTGAATCTAATCGTTACTTATGATTAAGCTCAGTACAGGGTTTTACATAATCGTCATATACGTCGATACATACAGTTCTATCCGTAATGAAGCAGCAAAAAAAAAAAAAAATCAAACAATATAGATAATAAATTACTTGTAATAAATCAGAAAACTCATCATCAACATTATACGTCCATATAGTTTCCTCAAAATCTTCGAAGTTTTTCAAAACTACATTCATATCTTCCATCTCCTCGAACCCTTCACGGTTTCTTTTTCTGCGGCATATGAACCCTAAAGACTGTATAACATCTTAGGAACAATACACCAAAAGGTTATTATACTTGTAAAGTAGCCGCGTATTTTTTAACTTTTCGCGCCCAATTCATATACACAAAGACGAGCCGACCTGAAATATTTTAAAAAAACGTGCAAAAGAAGATGGGTTAACGTCGGGTCATTCCGAGTAAACGGGCTGCTACGTGGCGCCTGTTTAATGCAATCCGAATGTAGAGCTACATCAGGTGACCGGACCGAACAAAAATTCGATAGGTGGATACTTAGCATTGCTGCGTTGCATGCTGAATCCAAAATAATTGTGTAATTGAGGCTTAAATGCCAAAACAACATTTATTGGCACCACTTTAACCAATCATACCTTCAAATCTTTTGTGGATGATTTTTATATAAATCATGATGAGATTAACTAGTTTAAGTTTGTGTGGCATAAAGAAGCTTTGCGTTTGGTTTTCTTCTTTTAGTTGGCTGGTTATGGTGGGGGCTCTCAAATTGGCAGATTAACTTAATTTAAGAGATATCCCTGCTCAGCCTAATTATTCTTTTCATAACCTGAGCTTTGAAACTTCCTCTCACATGTTTTTTGAATGTGATTTCTCATTTAGCATTTTGGTAGCCCTCTTTTTTGGGGTTTCTATTTTTGTGCTTATACCTAACTCTATTCAAGTTCTTGACTATATCAATGATTATTCACAATTCTCTGTGGATTAAAAAAATATGTCTATATGATTACTAGTGCTTTAATTTACTTTATTGGCGCAGAAATGAAAGAAAGTATAGTGGCACATTTTCTTGTCTTAATACAATTTTAGTTCTGATTAAAAAAGGCCATTAAGGACAAAGTTAACTACTGAATTTTTTTTTGAAAAATCTATGCGAATATATGGTTTTGGTTTCTCTCCAAATTTTTGTTGCTATACATTCTTTTTTCATATTAATGAAAGTGGACATGTCCCAATAATTCTAAAAAAGAAAAAAAAAGTGATACATCAGTCTACTAGATGAATATTTTTTTCTAATTCGAGAAAGAAGGAAATGAAACTTCTGTACTGGAGAATTGATCTTGTGAGATAGTCTGCTTGCCACTTGAAGAAGAGTTTTTTTTAGATTCTAAAGATCTTTGACCATCTTTTCTATGTAATGAACTCATAATTGAGCTTAGGTCTCATTCCAAAGAAATTCACTGAAATCTATTACTTCGTTGAATGAATTTATCCAGATATTTTTAAAGAATTTAAAATCCACAGATCTTTTAAAAAATGACGAGCAGAAATTTAATCCTGATTTTAGTTGGATAGAAAGTTTTCTTCACTGTTTGTAAAATAAAAGATATATTTTTAATAGAAATGGCATATTTTTTTAGAATTAATGGAAATTGAAACTAATATAGACGGATCGGGTCACTTCGGTGGATGATTGACGGATCGAGTTGAACAACTTGTTCACGATCTAACGTCTGGGAATCATTCAACGTGTTTAAACCTCAACGCTAGTACACAGTGTACCAATGGATGCTCAAAAACTGAAGTCCCAGCATTGCTGAAAGGCTGGAATCGTAGTGATCGATCACTGACTCCTAACCACGAGTCAAGCCCCCGCTCTGAAAGTCTCTCTCTTCAGCTTCCTTCCTGCCTCTTATTTGCTGATAGTATATTCTTTTGGAACCGAGAAAGCACGGGAATCTCGAGCTGCGCTCTGATGACCTAAAGCAAGCGTCTTTGAGAGTAACTGTTACATAGAAGGGGAGAGGAATCGAGATGGGTCTTCCAAGCGATGATCCGGTGGTCATCCGGGCGCCGGAGAAGGCCGGAGAGCCGTCGGTCATCACCATCAGCTGTCCGGATAAGACTGGCCTCGGCTGCGACCTCTGTCGGGTGATCCTCTTCTTCGGCTTGAGCATTGTTAGAGGAGGTGAAACCATTTCCTCATCCTTCTGTTCTTCAATTTTTTCTCGAAAGGTGGGATTTTGATGATTTTTTTTGGAAATTAGTGAGATAAGTGCGGATTTGTTTACTTTTCCATGGTTTGCTGTAATGTTGTTTTTGATTGATTTAGATGTGAGCACGGATGGGAAGTGGTGCTTTATTTTGTTCTGGGTTGTGGAAGGGAGGGTCAGGGCTTCAGAGACGAGGTGGGGATTGCTAAAGAAGAGGTTGTTGGAGGCTTGCCCTCTTGTTTCCTCAGCCTCTGAGATCTATGATTCTTACTATAGAGAGCAAGATATTATGGAGATGGAGAAGAAGCCGCAGGTTTTCTTGCTCAAGTTTTCTTGTTACGACCGGATGGGGTTATTGCATGGTGATTCCTTCTTCCTTTGTTGGTTTTCTTTTTGATGGTCTATGCCCTTTTATCTTTTGCTGGAAACCACTTTGCCTTGCCAAATCTAGAACCCATTTTTTCCTCACGTGGATATTGAAACTTATTACTCCCTTATGAATCTGCTAACTACCTAGCCTTTTATTTACTCTTTTTTTTGGTAGTTTTTAGTAGTTGCATTGACTAATTTGGGGCTAAGAAGGTTTGTTCACCTATTTAATATATTTATTATGCATGTTATATGTTATGTCCAACATATTCATTTTGTTGCTGCATGTGCTTCAACTTTTTTCTTTCTGTGATATTTATGATCTGAGCTGGCTTTTAATTGCTGATCTTCTTGTTTGTTTTGTGTTGCTGTTAGATGTGACAAGGGTGTTATGTGAACTTGAACTCACAATCAGGAGGGTAAATGTTTCAACAACTCCAGATGGGAGAGTCATGGACCTCTTCTTCATCACTGACACCAGGTCTCATGCTCTCCCTATATTTTGTTTCTTTATTGGATATAACTTTCTCTTTGGCGCACTTTTTTTTTCTTTATTTTTGTATTAAATTTCATCTACTATTCTGCAATCACAATGCCTACATTTATTGCTATTTCATGTGTGCTCGTTGCATTTTCTTTTTTAGTGGAACCGGGTCATTGTGCATATGCTGCTTGCATGTGACAATCTATAAGAAAGAAATGGAAGGGAAAAAAGATTGTATAATACATGGGCGAGCCAACTTCAAGGCCAAAAAAAAAATCTACACTTTTTGACCCCCTGAAAATTAAGGCTGGGTCCGCGGACCCATGATATAATATGCAAGGTTATGAAAACATTTTAGCCAAAATTATTGTCTCATTTTTGCATTTAATCCATATGATTCATGTGTCTTGCCAATCTAGGGTTTATGCATACAACTGAGGACAATGAGAGCATAAAAAAAATCTAATAAAAGATAGGAAAAATATAATAGTGATTACAAACACAAGGCCCATAAGTTATATGGTTGTTGAAATTCACATATCCTTGGCCGCTTATAAATCAAATAATCACTATGTTTTAAATGGGATACATAGAGATATTACACTTCATCTAAAGTTAGAGATAGTGATAGAGATAATATTCAATCTATGTCGATGATTGAGAACAAATACAACTGCTTATTGCGAAGGCTAGGACTAGATGCAGAAAAGAAATTGTTGAGATATTATGATTGGCTCATTGCTATGGTTGAGAGCTTCTCCTCTTTCTAGAACTTAAAAATAACATCAACTCTTCCTTCGCATAAACATGAATAATTCTCAATATTCTCTCGGTTGGAATCCACTCTCTTTTCGCTCCCATTCCACTTGTCTTTAATTCTTTATGATTGCAGGATGCCAAACCATTCTTTTTAAACCTTTATTTATAGTGGTAATAATAAATGTGATTGAAGAAAGAGTTTATACAACATCTTTCAAAGTCAATAAAATGATCCACAATGTCACTCAAAGACAATGAACGACTTCTTCAATATCCTACATTAATATAAATCTCCAAAATATTCTCATTACCTAAAAAAAAATGGATTATTCAAATATTTGTATTTAAAAAGAAGATTCAATCATATATTATGAAGATTTTATTATGAGAAAGTTTGGCTCCATGATTTGAATAATCACTCCCTTGGAGATAGAATTTTCAGTCTACTAGTTTAGTGTTCATATAAGAATACTTATCTATGTAGTACATTTTATTAATTGATATAACTTTTGTGATCATATAAGCAGGATTTTTTGCTTCTTTAATTTTGATGAGATGCAGGAATCAACTTCAAGCAAGCTACATATATAATAGTACTTGAACTGTATGTTCATTGTTGGGGAGTGGAATACAACATTTGTTGCCAAGTAAATGGCACTTTATGATGGTTGAAGTGTAACTGACATTTTTCTGCTTCTAGATTATAGGATGGTATTATGATATTGGGTGGAGTATTTGGAATAGTAAAGGATGTGTAGTTGCCAGTCATACCTTATGAATATAGGAATAGCTGAGAACTTCTAATGGGAATGGTCGACAAATAATAAATATTTGATATAATTTCTTGGATATAAAGAACCCTGTGCGTAGGGGCACCAGTAAAAATAGGCCTCTATCTCCCGCAGATGGATTAATTTGTTAGTTTCAATGCATTATAAATTTGTTAGCCATAATTTGCTCTAGTTAACAGATCCTCAAAGTTTCTTGGATTGTGCACTATCTTGAGGTGAGGAGTTGGCTATGGAGTTTCTTATCATTATATCTTCTGCAATATTTAAATCTTAGCATTACCTTTATTTCTACCAAGTAAATGTAGCATTTACATTTTTTATTTGGCCATTAAATTGCACCAATATATTTTTTTTGCATGGCTTATTAATTTAATTTTTGCAACATTTGTTTTTTTTTTTTTTTTTTCTTTTTTCTATAACCATCCATGCTATATGATTCAAAGAAACCATCCATCCATGTGATAAAAATATAATACTTTATTGGTGTCATGAACAGCATCAAATGTAGGGGCTTTAATTTTAATTTTAGCATTGAAATCACCTTAGATCCTTATGTTAGTCTAGCTTGGTGTCTTTGAAGAATACTTACAAAATAGAGAAGATCTGAATCAAGGAAGAGGGGTTCTCTCTTGATGGGGGCGAGCACAGCACTAGGGGAGCAATACCCAAACAATCCTAGCAAAATTGATACAATGTCTTGTTTTTCTCTAATATTTCCAGTGCATAAGTAATGGCCTCTTGACCTATAATTGGAGAGCCAAAAAAAGAAAAAAAGGTGATTCTGCTAGCAGCAAACAGTAATTGTGCAATATAAGTAATACTAATACTTAAAAAAGAGTTAAGAATATGATATAATAAAAGTAGTAACTATATAATATGTAAAGTGTTCATATGGTTTGGTCTAAGCCCAACTTAAATTGGCTGCATCATCTCCTGAGATAAATTCTTTGTTCAGCGTGAATATATAGAATCATATATTGATAAAAATCAGATCCCATGATGAGCTGAATTTGGTTAGGTTGGCTTGATTTGTGCCATGATGGCTCTTTAACTTTGGTTCGTGTTTGATTCAAGCCAAAAATTGATTCGATCTCAATTAATTTTCGATTGTATAAGGTAACTTATTAATTCAACATAACATGTATGCACATGCATGCACATATAGATTCATATATTGATATATATGTTCTTTTAAATCTAAATACATACATTAATACATGTTTGCGTGCATTCTTACATATAGACTTATTCTCTTTGATTTGATCTCTAGCTAGCTCAATCGGTTTAACCTTGACCCAGTTGAAGATCAATCCGAACAGGGCTTGGCTTGCTAGTTGGCATGCTGACTTTGATCCGAGCTTGATCCAAACAGGAAAGCCAATCCAAAAATTTATAAATAGGGTATTTGTATTCATTTGGTAGGATTTTTTTTTCTGTAATAATTTTTTTATAGGGAGAATTTTTCTCACCATTGACAACACTTATTGCACTTTGATGTCGTTAGTGGCAGCCTATTTGTTGCAATAGTTGAACATCAAATATGTCCTTCATTACCGACAATGATTGTATCATTTTTTGCACTCGTGATTGATGAATAGTCTTCTTGTAATAAGCTTATATTGGACTATTCACTCATTGTAGTTTGTTGAAATCTCTTGGTGCACGCAACCCTTTTTGATATGATTGTTGCTCATATAAATGAACTAATATAGTATGTATGGACTATTTAGATTGCTTAATCTATTTGTATTACCTGGTTTGTGTTGATGAGAACCTGTTGGTCGCAACAATGAATCATTTTCTTCTAAATGTCTTTGTTTCATCTAATTTCAGGATCAATTGTAGAAATGGTTCAATCAGTAGACTTGAGCTAACTAGGTCCAACATCACCAACTTGACTGGAAGATTGCTCGTTCAGACTAATTTCAGTTTTTACGATCAGTAGTTGAACTTTGGTGTTAAATGCGATAATTGTCGATGCCGTTTTGTAAAGATGCATCATTACATTATCATTTGCCTTATGCCAACAATTTAAAATTTTTATTCATTATGGTTGAGTGCTAATTGAGATGATAGATTGAATCTGTACAAATCTTTTTGAATAATTTGTATTCATATTACCTAAAGCCTACTCCATCATCTTCCTAATCCATAGTGTTAATTTTATCTACCCATCTATTTTCTACCTTTAATTATACATGATGAATCGACTCATGTCTATTTTTAACTATATTTTTTTATTATAAATGCCACTCTCAGCATTGTCATTGTCATCATCATCAGCATCATCATGAGCCTTATTCCAACTATTTGGAGTTGGTATAAATCCTCATTTTCTATTTGTTTTTTTGTTAAGTGTTATTTAAGATGTTAAAATTAATCTTCATAAATTATTTTGAACAATTTTATTCATATAACTGTAAGCCTCTTCTGTCAAAATTTTAGTTACACCAGGCATGAAATAAGGAACTGAGGAGCAAATGAAAACATCTGATGTAGAACTGCAGACTAGCAAATGAAAACATCATTTAGAACTGCAGATTGCATAATAAAGGAGTATGACATCTATTCAATTACTTTGGCTTTTATCACTTTGTGAGATTCATAATACTTGTGACTTTTTCACACAATATGACAATATGTTTGTGTAATTTTTGCAGATGGTATTTACTTGAACTCAAGTGTTATTTTTCATTGTATCATTTATACTTTTTTTTCACCCAGACATTTAAAATTCTTATTTATGTTACTGTATGTTTCATTCTTGTTTTATAGCACCAATATTTGTTTCCAGGGAATTATTGCATACAAAAAAGAGAAAAGACGAGACTTGTGATCAGCTGAAAGCTGTGTTAGGGGAATTCATAACAAGCTGTGATATTGAACATACTGTTGAAGATATTACTGCTTTCCTGCGAGCTTCCTCTACTCTGCCCCGTTCTATTACAGAAGACATGTTCACTTTAGAGCTTCCTGAAGAGCCATCTAAGGCACTGCTTCCTGCATCAAATCGCCTCTCCGTCACGATGGACAACTCTCTAAGCCCTGCTCACACACTAATACAAATTCATTGTCCAGACCATAAAGGCCTTCTTTATGATATCATGAGAACTCTAAAAGATTATAACATCCAGGTTAATAGATTAAGATATAAATGGAATCAAAACTCCTCATCTTTCATTATTTCTATGCCTAAGTAAATATCTGCATCGTTCTGTCTTCTTGACAAGCGTTATATTCATCTTTCAGATATCCTATGGGCGTTTCTATTCATACCAAGGTGGAGAATGTGAGGTGGACTTGTTTGTTATACAAATGGATGGCAAAAAGATTATTGACCCAAACAAGCAAAAGGCATTAAGTGGTCGCTTAAAAATGAACTTGTTCTTACCTCTACGTGTTGCTCTTGTGAATCGTGGACCTGACTTGGAGCTCTTTGTTGCTAACCCTGTTGAATTGTCTGGCAAAGGCCGCCCTCTCGTACTCTATGACATCACCCTTGCCCTCAAAATGCTCCAAATTCGCATTTTTTTGGTATGGTTTGCATCCAATAATTTAATTTTCTTTTCAATCACAGCTGTCTTTTTGTGTCAAAATTTTGGATGCTTTCAGTAAAACTCTACATGTGGAGAAATTATCACGTGCGGAGTCTGGTTACGTCTGGACTCCAATAAAAACTCGACACGTGTTCTTGTACACAGTGTGTTCAACTGTGCACACTATACACAAATTACAAAATTATGTACACTGTGTACATGGACACGTGTCGCATTTTTATTGGAGTCCGAACATAACTCCACGTCCGGACTCCACATGTAATAATTTCTCCTAAATGCGAGTGTTTCTTTTCAGTGACATTTTCACTGAAATTTATAATAAGCTGAAATAAATTTCTTAATTTTATAGATATTACTACATTTCTGGGAACAATACTAATTCATCTTTGTTCATTATTCTGAAGCTATTGTTATCCTATGTTTTCAAATAATGATCACTTATATCACGAAATCCAGTGGAAGAGAAACTTGTTGTATCTTCTGTTTTACTTCTAGTTTTTGTATGTAGCTTTTTCTGCTAACTTCTCGTGTACTTTATGTTAATGTTAAATTCCTGGAAAGACATTAATGAATCTTGATTACAGGCGGAGATAGGAAGGCATACTATTGGTGATAGTGAGTGGGAAGTTTACAGAATCCTCCTCAATGATGACCATTTTCTCTCATCATCAAAGAACAAAATTGTTGACAGAGTAACAAAGATGTTGATGGGTTGGGATTGATTATCATCAGAGTCCCAATTTCCTCCTTGCTTTGATGCTTAACTTCTAACGAACCGTGGAGGTCCAAAGCTTATTTTCTTCAAATTATTCCAGTTCATGCAGTTCTAGGCTAGCATTGAGAATGTGAACTAACTTGCCTCATCTGTTATATATATATAATGTGGAAGAAAGATAAAGGAAGATGAAAGCAGCTTGCTATGGATGTCTGAAGGTTTGCAGGTCATCTAATCTTGTAAACATTTAAGCTGATTACCTACTTACTTTTGTTGTTCATGTTTACTTCTCACTTGGTGACTTAAACTTGGAACTCTTACAAATGTATATATAATCTTCAAGCATAAAATAATTTAGAATGCGCTACGAGATGATTCTGTTTGAAACCTGCAGCTTTCGCGGGGAAAATTGGACTGAGATTTTTCTGTATTTCAAGTTCATAGCCTTTGTACATCCAGCTGCTCTCAAGCTTCTATGGCAGGTGTTTATTTTTTCTACATTTTTGGTGATTGATAGATAAAATAATAATAGGGAATACATCATATTATTATCCTCTGAAAGTTGAGTTTATAAAAACCACTGTTAAAAAAGACTTGCTTGTATTTTATCTTCCTAACACAGACTTTTGATTTCATGGCATGCTGAATTTTGAAGATTTAGAGAAGCTAGCAGTTGAGTTATCAAATTTTCCTATGTGGGCCTACAGGCCATGTCATCCGATACCGAGTAGCAATACTGAGGAAAAAAATAACGTGGTGCGTTCTGATTGATCGTCTGTACAAAATATTTTATCCACAAATTGAGAGATAGGCTTTCCAGAATTTAGTTCACTAGAAGAAGCTACAAATAATGCTATCTCATCTCTTCTTTTTATCTTGCCATCCTTTTACCCACACGCTTGGAAATGAGATCATTAACGTCCTTTGTTTTCTTTTGAGTGTTATAAGCAGTTTAATTTGGGAGAATTTAACGAACAAGTTATTAATGGCCCAGTAAAAAGAAAGGAATCAAGTATGACAAAGTAATAGGCGTTAAGCTTGGATTGAATACAGAAAATCCTAAGGAATAATTTCTAACCCATACCAGAATTATCATACGCAAACAGATAGCTCATTTATAATTTTTGGAGTCCCCACATTATCCGACAGTTGGTATCTTAGCACTTTGTCAATCAGAAAAAAAAATCCTAGTTTTGTTGGCCTCATGTGAACCACTAAAATTATGTTAGCTACGAAATTTTTATAGGAATCAGACAAATTTAGATCTCAGCAGTCAATTTGATCTAGAATTCGAGATATTGGTTCGATATCAATAAAAGAGCTATTGAAAGCAGAGAAGACAATGCCATCATTAATATATAATTCAAAGATTAGAGTATGTGAAGCGCATTAGATAACACCAAACATCTTATTAATTAAAAATAAGGAAAATTTACATATATGTCACATTATATTATCTTATTTATATATCTAACACCCAAAATATTAATATTAGATACATATTATCATATATTATTTTAATATCAAATATGTCACTTATATTTAATTTCTACCACTAATATTTGATATGAAAATAAATTATGGGTGATATGTATGTAATATTAAAATTCTAGATGTTAAATATGTAAATAGAATAGTATATGATGGTATATATGTAGGTGTTAAACATAAGAAAGATAGATAAAAACAATTCAAATGTTTTCCACATACGACCAATGAAACTACAATATTGTCCTTAATTCTTAGGGGTGTTTGATACCGTGTAAAATTTCGAGAAGTTTATTTTCAGTTCTTAATTCATTTTTTATACATTCTAAATCCCTTTTCCGATCAACCAACGTTCGCTAGCCACCACTGACTGTCACCATCATTATCAGGCTGCATGACCAAGTAGCTAGGGGCAAGAGATATTCCACATTTATTTTCCGTCAGAAGCTGATATGTCAGTTCGAGGGCATACCGGTGCTCCATATCTATAACTAATTATTTAAAATTTATTTCTATTCATCTTTAAAAAATTAATAAATTTAAAACTCATCATAAATAAGTATTTATTAAAATATTCTAAGCCAATTTTTTTGACTTATAATTTGCTATTAGGTTGTATGCAAGAAATGACTCAATGACTTAGTAGAAGATTTACGAAGAAATTATTTTGTGAGGTCACCAGACAGTTCAGAGGTCAATCAGAACATGCAACGTCATCTGATACATAGGGGTACACAACACTGATACACAACAAAAAAGTGACGTGACGCGTTCTGGTTGACCCTTGAACGGTATCCGGTGTCTGCACAAAATAAATCTTCGGACTTAAGAGGGTATAATTTTCAAGGACAGTAATTTTATTTTGTAGTAAAAGAAAAAATTGACAGCTTGACATTAATTAAATGTAATGAACACTTATATAAATTAAACACAAATTCTTAAATAATCTCTCTCTTTTAATGCCAACAATATAATTTTTTTAATGCACTGATCAGAGCCATTGTAACAGTTTTTTGATAAGATTTGGTGGCAATACATTACTATTACCAGGATTTATTTTATTCTTAAACGGTTCAAACTTTGAAGAAACTTATTATTTATCAATTTTAATGAATTTTAGAATTTTTAATCAATTTAACTTTTAATTTATATTAATGACACAATATCAAATTTTATAAATCACCATCATTACCAATAATATGTTTTCTTAATTAGCTGACTTTATTATTTATAATAATTGTTTAGATTTTTATTTATTATGATGGATTGATGACGATCACATATTTTTATATATTATACTTCCCACACGTTTCATCCCTTGCCCAACAAATTGTCTATAGGCACATACCAAATAGTCATGCCTACACATCACCTAGATCAAACAAGAAAACACCATTCTTAACGTCATAGATACAGGGGCGGAACCAACTTCATTTTTGAGGGGATAAATACATCACAAAAATAAATAAATATTAAAAAAAGTAATATCTAATAGAAAATATTTTATTCTATTCTTCTTCTTGTGAGCTTTATGTCATAGGCCCTAGAGAAGTTATATAACTTAGCTGAGAAATACATTTCGTCCCTTAATAAAAGAAAATCTATCATAACATCTTTAGTCTAGCTATCCTATTCATTGGCTATGATTTTTGTCACACTTGATGCAATAATCAATGCTAAGGATCTCTTGCCACTATCAAAAAATGGGGCTAATGCAGCACTATTTTGGGCCTATCCCAGCGGTTTTAATCCCTATTATTTTTCTTGCAGCGGTTCTAAACCGTTACATATCCGCTGTAATTGCATTACACTGAAATGACATTCCGCAGCGGTTTAAGAACCGGCGGGGTAGAAATACTGACTATAGCAGCGGTTTTAACCGCTTCAAAGCTCCAGAATAGTGCCAGTTATAACCGCCACAAATAATGAAAAAAAAAAATGATATCCAGTAATGTAGCGGTTTTAACCGGTACTATTCTGGAGCTTTGCAGCGGTTAACACCGCTACAAAGTTCAAGAATTTTTTTTTTAAAAAAATGAAACCCAAATGAAATCCTGTAAATCAGAATTATTAATGGATAAAAAGTAAACACTTGCATGTACAAACTCTAAAGTATAGAAAAGTGTCACTCTATGTGATCCAAAACACAATAATAAAACAAATTCAATTTGTTAGTGATCCAAACTGATTAATAACAATAGATGATATAATCATATTTTACAATCTAATGAAGATATTAACAATATATTGATTAAAAACAAGAGAATTTCTCTATGAGCAATTGACAATTCTTGTAAAATTGACTAAGTGGTAAATCTAGGCAAAACCAAAACTCACGGCAGATGATAGTAGGATTTGAGCACACCGGCAAAATGCAAAACCAAATCTCACGGTATAAGACTAAGGCCTATAAACGTGCTACCAAACTTAAAGGCAAATAATAGCAGGATTTGAGAACATCGGCAAAATGCAAAACGAAATATGAGGGCAAATGATCCGGCCTAAATCCTGCTACAAAATAGCCCCTTAAATGTTGATCATTTTTCTGATTTTAGGGATTACACTAACAAGATAAGAAGAAGAATGACAAGAAAAGGGAGAAGATCGAAGAAGAATACAAAGGAAAAGAAGAAGAAGATGATGAAGAAGGGGAAGAGACTCACAGTGAAGAAAGGTCGGCCAGAGGTGCCTTTCGTGTGAGGAGAATACTGATCGAGCAAAATGCAAGCGGGATGTGAGCAATGCTCCTCTCCGCCAAGACACGCTACGTCGTTTCGCTCCGCTGGAGTCGCACGCAGAAAAGCAGAGAAGGATCGGATTTTGTTCTCGCGCGCAGAAATAGAATTAGGGCTTTCTTTAAATTTGCGGCACATGTTTAACCGGTGCAAGAATTAGTTTTTAGCAGCGGTTCTATTCCCGCTGCTACCAACTAATGCTAAAAAGACAACTTTTTAGTAGTGTGCTCAAGACCTTAAGTGGCCTTGACGATAAGTACAAACACTTTGTGAAGTCAGTCATGTATGCGAAACCATCATCACCTCTAATGAATCATCTCTTGAAAAACTGATTAATATGAAGTTTAGTTGCCGCTATTGTTTGAGTTATTAAAAAGATTAATTAGTACAATATAATTCTTTTGAATTTTATGCTTTGAACATCTTTTCTTATACTGGGAGATAAATTTGATCTAATCAGTTAGTCTAATACTCAAATTGACCGACTAATTCATTGAATGAGGTGAGTGGATATTTAGGATTATACAAATTTTATTTCTATTAACTATATATATATATATATATATATATATATAGTGATCAAGTATCATAGAAATTTTCCTTTGCTCGCATTGAAGACATTTAGTGGGGTTGAGCCTCATGTTAAACCTACTAAATTAATTTGAAATTGCTTTTGACGAGGAAGTCGTAGGATGTATACTTAGAATTTTGCCTATTTTGCATATGGAAGGTATTATTAGTATCCTTTAATTAAGTGGGGTCAATGTTTTTCAAACCAAGTAATATTTCTTTATAATAGAACGTGGGGATGGACTTTTCTCCGTTTACGAGGAGAAAGATTCTCCAAAATTTACTTCTTTTTTTATCTCTTGTCTTAATTTATTGATTGGGGCTTACACTACTAATGAAGAGGTCTTGGATTTGAAACTTAACTATTTGATAGGTATGAATTTGCGTTAACGGGCTAACGGCTCAAATATATAAAAAAAACTTCTTTCATTTATCCTTCAAATTAACATCATGCTTAAGATTTTTTTTTTTTTTTTTGGGCACCAGTTTTTTTTTTTTTTTGTTAAAATCCACAGTATAGACTTACGCGTTTGATACGTCCTAAAAAATATATCTTGATCGGGCACGAATCTCGATGTA